CAAAATAGTGTTCTTTTCTACAAAAAGTGTACAGAAAAGTTTTCTAATGCAAACACAGTTTTTGCCACAAAGCAAAATTGCTTAAAAGCAATATCCAGATTGTTTGTGTGTGTGTGTGTGTGTGTGTGTGTGTGTGTGTGTTGACCATTTATCAGACCAGGTAATATCCAGGTCAAGAAAAATTGCAAGCAGTCTTTACATTTCTAACTATTCTGGGGCAAAATGGTAAATAAAGCCTTCTAAAATATTTAGTAATTTCCTTCTGAGACACTGTCTGTGCAAGATGTACACAGTGGAGAGAATACTCTACCACAATGAGCCCTGCTTCTAGCATGATTTAATGCGGAAGCATGTAAACCTCCCTGAACAATTGAAAGAAACCACAACTGCTTAATAAAAAATGTTGTGGGCAAGCTATAATTTTTCAAAACAACTTTTATTACAGTTGCATATACTGTGTATCAAGGTCTTTAGTTCAGTTCCACTGCACTTTCCCCTGAAATTTTTCTTTCATTCCAGCAAACATGAATAGGTGAGAAAAGCTTGCAAATATCAAATATTCCTTTATTTTCAACATGATTTAGTTAAGATTTACAAATACATGTCTAATAAGTGATAGCGGTGGGATTGGGGAACTTTAGGGCCTTTGCAGACTGCTAGAAATAGTACAAATTGAGTCCTCTTTAACTGTCCTGGCTCAGTGCTAGAGAATCATGGGAATTGTATTTTTTTTTCTGAGACATTGAGCCTTCTCTATCAGAGAGCTGTGGTGCCACAATAAACAACAGTTCCCATGATTCCCTAGTACTGAGTCAGGGCAGTTAAGGTGGACTCCATTTGCACTATTTCTGGCAGTCTGCAAAGGTCATTAGTTTACCAATCTTTTATTGCTTTTATTTCTTTAGTGGAAGAAAAACATGCCGTTGTCAGGAGCTACAAAGAGATTTTGTTTTTTAAGAGGTGTTGCTGTAGCTGCCCATATCATCCTGAACATACCTGATCTTGTCTGATTTCAGAAGTTAAGCAGTCTCAGGCCTAGTTAATACACACCTTGGTTATATCCTGCTTGGATTACTGTGATGTGCTCTACCTTTGAAAACTGCACTGAAATTTCAGTTGGCCCAAAGAACTGCAGCGAGATTGGGGTCGACTTTGGGCCGATGCAGAACAGCACTATAGGTCGGCCTGGGGATAGAGTTGGGGTGGGGTAACCACATGGCAGCCACCCCGACTCCACCCTGATGCCGCCCTGATGCTGCATGCCTGTCCACATGGTGCATGGCATCAGGACACCCTTCTGGGGCAGCGTGCATACATGCTGCTCCAGAAGGGTGCAAAAGAGCTGCGGAGGCATTTTGCTGCACTTTTTGGGGTAGCAAAAAAGAGGATTGGGGCCATGGCATATTGTTGCTGTGGCTCCTCTCCACTGTTTCCAGGAGTGGCCAAGAGCCTCCCAAATGGGCCATCTGCATCAGCCCTTTGTTGTTATTGTTAATTGCCCTCAAGTCAACCTTGATTCATGGTAACTCTGTAAATGAGACATCTTCAAGACCCCCTTTCCTCAACAGCTCTGTGCAGATCCTTCAAGCTCAGGCCTGTGGCATCTCTGATTGAATCTAACCATCTGCCATGTGGTCTTCCTTTCTTTCTGGCCTCTACCTTTCCTAACATCATTGTATTTTCCAATGAGTCATGTCTTCTCATGATGTGACCAAAGTACGGCAGTCTCAATTTAGTCTTTCTGCCTTCCAGGGAATGTTCAGAGGCCGGCTACAGTTTGCAACAGGTGCACTGGCTGCTGGTCCATTTCTGGTCACAATTCAAAATACTAGGGCCCATATGACCTGAAAGACTGTACCTCCCATTATGAGCCCATGAGAGCTCTATGCTTATCAGTGACCCTTGCTGTAGGCTACAGTTCAGAGGAAGGAACTGGCAAAACTACCTCTGAGTATTACTTGTCTAAAAAACCTATGAAATTCATGGGGTCACCAGAAGTCAACAGGGGACTTGAAGAGTACATACACATTATTCCCCCATACTGTGTGGTGCTCTCTCTCACTCAACTTTATTAATATCAAATTTACAGCTTTCCATTTATAAACTAGGCCTGTTAGCTTCACTGTCTCTAAGAATATAATTAATGTTTCCAACAAAAGAAGAGTGGCTGAGGTGCTCAGAGCTGATGGTCCATATATAGACACCAAAAAGTGTTGCAGTTGTACATGTTGCCACAGTGCTCCTGAGGATAACTGATAACTAGACTTCAATAGTGAAAAGGGTTAAAATTCCTGCCTTGGACCAAACAGTTAATCAAAAGTATAAATATTACAAGTATACCAAACTATAATGGCAACATAAACTGCAGAGGGTATCATTTCCTTTTCTTCTTTGAGCAAAGCGAACCTAACATCCTAACAGAAATTCCAAGTGGCTTGATTCCAAAATTTCCCAAAGACAAGTTTATGAATTAGGCTGTTTTTCAGTTACTTGGAAAAGTCAGAAGATATGATACGGACACAAGTTTGAAAAATTAAATCCGCCTTCTCAAAATGACAGTTGCACTGTTTTGAGTGGGAAATAGTTTGGTAAAGAACCCCAGATAAATTCCTAAAAATAGTATTTCTCAGAGTTAACTTGTGAGATATACAATGAAATACCTGGAAGAACATACACTTTGTTGTTGTTATTGTTATTGTTGT